GGGGGGGGGGGGGGGAGGATCAGTATGCTTGTCCTGACCTTGACATTAGCAATTTCATCCCTCATGCTTCCCAGGAGACTACCATTGCAAGTACTCACACTTTTATATCTATTCTGGACTGGTTGGTTTTGGGGTGGAACAGTGTCCATTACTGCCTGTTCCATGTTGTGTCAACCCAGAATCCAGAGCAGTTCTGGAAGTCCTAGATATTGCAATAGCAGAATTTTGAAGCTGCCGAAGTCAGGGATCACTAGATGACAGCAAAGAGATAACCAAAAAAAAAAAAACCACCTGACTCTTTGCTGCCATCTGATGATCACTGAGAAGAAATCATGTTCTTTCAAACATCTACCAGTATTGAAAGAAATAGGTAACTTTCTTTTCCTTTTCAGCAGCCTGGTGCTGGGTGGCTGCCAAAAAAAGCTATTTGTGTTTCTATCAGAAAGACTGACTGACTGACTGACCCTAGGAACCACATCTATCCTAAATGTAAATTACATTTATCATCATTACTCCTTAGTACACATAACAAAAGAAGAGTAATCACAACCAGAGTCAGACTCATACTCTGTTCAGCAAACAACAAATCTTCCTTTAACATTTGAAGGAAGAAAAGCTGCAGCAAACAAGTCAAACCATTATAGACAAAATGTACCATTGACAGCATCATCATAGAATATTGGAAGTGACCTTGGAGATTACATAGTCCAACCCTTTACTTGAATTGACTACTAGCATCCGTAACAGATGCCATCCAGCCTCTCTATAACACTTTTGTTTCATCAGCAATGCACAAGAGGATGAACAGAGCTCATACACGCATGTAAGCTTGGAGGCCAACCTCAGTAGAGTCTTTTATATGTTTTGAAACGTATGCTGCAATCTCCAAGACCATTAACAAAAGTATTCAAGAGACTGCAGCAATGCAGAGTGCAAGGATGAATGAAGAGTAATTGATTCTGGCAACAACATTTTTCAACCCCTAAATCTGTATAGAAAGTGTATATTGACATAGTATTTAAATATAAAACAGTGCAATGGAAGAGCAGTATTAAATCTGGCCAAATATAAAAAATATTTAAGAATGAGTATTTTATGTATGTTATGTTGTATATTTCCTCTAGGGAAATTAACAGTCCTGCAATTTATTCATTCTTCTTTTAGTAAATTCTGGATTCAAATTTTTTTTAAAAAAACTGGAAATAAATGGCTGTGTTTTGGGCTCCTCTTCCTTCTCTCCAAAATGTATATGCAAATATTGAAGATTTAGCTGTGTAAGATTTATTTGATAATCAAATGGTTCTAAACTACTGAAAGCATTAAGATTAAAAAGGGTTGTGTTCCCATTAAATAGAATGACCTGAAATTGGCAATCTGTTATCTAAAAGAAGAACAAGAGCAACTGAAGTCCAGGATTACAGAGTCTCCAGAGGAACTGACTAATTGCAGAGAACGGCTGAAGCAGACACTGCAGAAGATTAAAAAAGACAAGGTAAATCTTAATATTATGGGTTTTTTGGTTTTGTTTTATATTTTAGCAGCAATTAAGATTGATAACTGAGCAAAATCAACATTTGTCAGATTTGCCTCCCACAGCTTCAGCTTCTATGGATTCCTAAAATTAAGTTAAATTCTTAAGAATTTTTTTCCAAATTAATACAGCTAATTGGATCTTACAGATTTGTTATAATAATGAAAGCCAGTACAAACATGTACCAGAAGTACAAAATTTGACAATTGTCTCAACTTGGTTCTAGCTTTTCTGTGCCTAAGGAAATATTTAAATACATGTCCCCACAAGCACTCTGATGTAATGCAGGACTGGTGTTGTTCCTAAAGTATTTAGCTCTTCAGCAGTTGAGCCAATTTACTTCCAGCTCAGATACACCATGGAAGGAACTGTTGGGAAGGCAGGTTTGCGGCAAATATGCTGGAGGTTGGGAGCAGTCTGTTCTCTGTTACCAAGATCTCTTACATCCTGACATTCCAGGTTAAGGAACCAGAGTGCCACACCACTGTTTCACCAAATGTTTCGCAATTTTGTTGCATTCTTCCAGTGAATAATTGAGGTTTGTTTGTTTTTTAGTCCCCCTAGTATTTGTGGGGGGTAATGAAAGTTTATAATCCTTAGTGATCCAAAAAGAGGTGAAAAATATATTTGTTCAAAAAAGTAAAATATAATAAAATGATTTTTTTCTTGCAGAACTCTTCTAGGTCAGAAATATTCTTAGGTCCTTGCTCTTCACCCCCATTGCTAGCTTCATACTGATGGGCACCAATAGACCCTAACATAGCATCACTTATGTTCCAGCAGCCAGTGTTCCCATTGCGTTTGGTCCTGGCAGGTCTCCATTCTCTGCATTTGTATTTATGTATTTGGTATATTCTTTCATTTCTGGGTAATGGGAATTGGGATTCCAATTGTTCTCATAAAACCTGAAGGACCAAGTTAGGGACAGATTGCCATGGAGAAAATCTATGTGATTGCTAACAGTTGACACTGACTTGATGGTATATAGTCAATCATTGTTCTCATAGATTAAACTCCCCTTCTCATAATGAACACTCAGTACTGACACCAAGATTTTCTAACATACTATAATTAAAGATATCCAGTTGGTGTAGTAGTTATGACACCAGGCTAGAAACCAGGAGACTGAGTTCTAGTGCTGCCTTAGGCCCAAAGCCAGCTAGGTGACCTTTGACCAGTCACTTTCTCTCAGCACCAAAGAGAGGCAATGGCAAACCACTTCCAAAGTTTTGCCCAGAAAACTGCAGGGAATTTTCCAGGAAGTTGCCAGGAGCCAACAGGTGACTCAAAGGCACCCCTCCATTATTAAAAGGGGATGAAGTCTCACTTTACATTATTCTGTGGCCCACTGTTTGTCCTGTTCTAGACCCAGCAATCACACTAGCAAGTTTGCAGCTGATTTAATAACAGGATTTTTAAGTCAAACAACTAAGCAGGCAGATATAATGCTCGGATTAAACAGTTTGCACAGAAGATCTGGGAGAAATATAGGGTAGGTGAAATCTTGCCTTGAAGCCAGGCTACAGCCAATTCCAGTTGAAGTGGAGAATACAGGGAACCAGAGGTCCACAGAATCCAGTCCAGGGTTCTATTGTAGTTGTAAAAATTAAGGACAGATCTTGAAGGAGGGGTGCCAATGACACGTATGTCTGGAAGAAACAGGGTGAGGTACTGGCAGAGAAGCAAGAGTTGTCACATCATGGACTAAAATAATAGCCTTTCCTGGAGGCAGAAATATATCTTGTGCAGCACAGAAATTTTAATGAAGAGAAAAACTCAGGAAAAATATTTTGTTTTTTTTATAATATTAAATTAAAAAAAGAAAAATGAAAACTAACAAAAACTAATACTGAGAGAAAGAATAAGAAGAAAAAGAAAATTGAAAAAAGAAAAGATCAAAAGTGCAGAAAAGAGAGAAACAACAAAAGAAAGAAAATTGACTTCTGACCCTCCTTGCAACATATATAAGTAACAATATACATCAAACTCTTACTCTAAATTTTAAAAAAATTCCATTATTTCTATTAATCCATATTATTTCTAGTCATCAAATCCATACAACATAATTTCATTTTTTTCTGTTTCCTGCAAAAAAAGGTTTCCAATTATAGTACTGAAATTACACAATGTCTTATCTCGAATCAGAGCCATCAATTTTGCCATCTCAGCCAACTCTATCAGCTTTACTATCTATTCTTCCACTGTAGGTAATCTCTTATCTTTCCACCTCTGTGCATATAACAGTCTTGCTTTTTTTTGTTTTTCCATGAATGTTTTCCAACTTTTTGTCCATCAAACCCAAAAAGAAAGTGTCTGGTTTTGATTTTATTAATCTTTAAAATCTTCTGTATACAAATATGTATCTCATTACAGAATTTTTTTTTGCTTTTTTACAAGTCTACCAGAGATGATAAAATGTCCCTTCTTGTTCACATTTCCAGCATACATTTGAAGTACCTTTATACATCATTTTATAAAAATTCTCTTTAAGGTTATAACACAATGTAAATTTTAGTCCTTTCTGCCACATATTTTCCCATTGTTCCATCTGTACATTGTACCAAAGTTTTTAGTCCATTTTATCAAGCAGTCCTTAACTTGTTCATATTCTGTCTCTAGTTTCAATAAAAGTTTATACATCTTTGCAATAACCTGTTCATCTTTAGTACATAATTCTACTCCAAATTCAGTCTTACCATATTCAAAACCATAAGCCCTTTTATCTATTTTAAATCTTTCTTGTAATTGTACATAGGAAAGCCATTGACACATGTATTCCTCTGATATCAATCCCTCTCTTGTATTTATTTTAAAGTCCCTTTGAGAAAATTCCAATATATCACCATAAGTTTACTATTTATTTTTAGTTATCATTTCTCCTCTATAAAAAGCTTCTTGTGGTGACAACCATAAAGGAACCTTCGGAAACAATATAGATTTATATCTATTCCATATTCTCAATATGGCATGTCTAATAAAATTATTTTTAAAATCTACATTAACTTTATTGTACCATAAATAGCCGTGCCACCCAAGTCTTAAGTCATGCCCCTCTAGTTCCAGTAACAGCTTATTTCTCAAAGTCACCCACTCTTTCATTGAAACCAAACAACAAGCTGCAAAGTAAACCTTCAAATTTGGGAGACCTAAACCTCTTTCTTTAGCATCTTGTAAACCTTTGTACCTAATTCGTAGTTTCTTACCTTGCCATTGTTATTTAGATATATCTTTATGCCGTTGTTTAAACGGAACATCAGTTGTCATAACAGGTATTGTTTGAAACAACAATAACATTCTAGGTAAAACATTCATCTTAATTACTGAAATTCCTCCCAAAATGCCAATTGTAATTTTTTCCATCTTAACGTATCTTTTTAAATTTCATTTCAAGTCTTAGAATTATTTTGAAACAACATAAAATTGCTATTTGTCCAATTCATCCCCAAATATTTAACCTTTTTTTCTACCTCAAAACCCGTTTTGTTCATCAGTTCTTCTTGTTCTTGTATCATATTTTTCATTAACATTTTAGTCTTTTGTTTATTAATTTTAAAACTAGCCAAAGCAACAAATTCTTTCAACTTTTTAATTAAAGTTTCAATACCAACACCAAAACCAAATAATCTGCAAAGGCTCTCAACTTATATATCTCTTTCTTGATTTTTATACCCCTTATCTTCTCATCTCTCCTTATATCTCTATTCAAAACTTCCAAAACTAAAATAAACAACAAGAGAGACAGTGGGCAACCTTGCCTCATTCCCTCTGATATCTCATATGATTTAGTTAAGTTCCCATTCACAATAATTTGTGCTTTCTGTGATGTATAAATTGATTTTGCTCCTTTTATAAAATTCTCTCCAAAGCTCATATCTTCCAAAACTTTAAACATAAAAGGCCAATTGAAGTTTTCAAAAGCTTTCTCTTCATCCAAAAAGATTAATGCAGCTTGTTTTTCATTATGTGTTCCAAATATTCTATAATGTCCAGTACCATTCTAACATCTTTTAACTGTCTTTTAGGTAAAAATCCACACTGATCATCATAAATAAATTCTTGTAATATAACTTTCAATCTGTCAGCTAAAATCATTGTGAACAGCTTATAGACATTATTCAATAAAGATATTGGTCTATAATTTTTAGTTAAAGTCAAATCTTGTCCTTCTTTAGGTAATAGTCCTATGTTGGCCTCCTTCCAAGACTCTGGTATTCCACCTTCCACCAATATAAAATTCATAATAAATTGGAGCGGTTATAGAATTTCATCCTCAAATTTTTTATAAGATGATCCCAGAAGCCCATCTGGTCCTGATGTTTTACTTGGTTTAATCTTTTTAATAGCTTCAGATACTTCCATTATTGTTATAGGTCCATTCATAATCTGCCTTTGCTTATCTTCATCTTTTTCTTCTTCCCAATTTAAAAATTCTCCCAATGCTTGAACTACCCTTCTTTTAATATCTTCCCCTGAAATTTTCGGAATAGCTCTGAATCTCAGGCAAAATTCCTTCTCCCTTAACTCCAGCAAAGCCACATTATCCAGTCCTTTCTCCAACTCAACATCTCTGGTTTCTGCTTTATTCTCCAACATTTCCGTTCTTTCAGTAACCTGCTTCACTTCTCCAGAGATCTGTTTCATCTCTTCAGCTATTTGTTTCACATAACTGTCCATCTTATCTATCCTTTCTTCCATTTTTTTCCCAAAGTTGCAAGTTTAACTCCTAATTCATCAAACATTGATGAAAACTTTAAAAAGCTAAAAACTTAAAGCAACCATCTTGTCCTCTAACAGTTGCTGTACAGAGCCTCGTCTTTCTCTCATTTCTTTCGCAGCTTTCCTAGTAGTCATGATCTTTTTATTTATTTTTCTTCTTTTGCACAAGTAAAAAGTCTAGCCAGATATAAATAAATACAAGAGAAAGTAAACTGACTGTTCACACCCTCTGGTGTCTTTCAAGCTGGAATCGCAGGCATCAGTCAAAGGAAACACACAGGGATTGAGTCACAGTCTTCTGTTTTAGAAACCCAGTCAATCAACAGACATAATCCAACAAGAAACTTTCCCGTGGAAAAAGCAAACTTCATTACTGCAAATGGAGTTTTATAGAAAAATAAACTTCTAACAAATCTTCCCTTTTCACTGTAAATAACTTTTAAGTCTTTTTTAAATTCCAATTTTCATCCATCTTTTTGCAAATTAATCAGATTCAAATTAAAGCTCTATTTCTTCTTTTAAAAATAGAGTCCCAAAAATAAGGATAAGCCCAAGAGAATTACTTATCTGTTGCAAAGGAAGGTCTCTCTTAAGTTGAAAAATAATTATAAACCACAGTGTTTAGCAGTGAGGTTTAGTTGGCTCTAGTGTCCATAAATGGCTGCACCACAGCTGCAAATGGAGATGGATCCCCGCCTCCCAGAGCCATTCACAGAGGCTTTTATCTCTCTGATTAGCTTTCAAGAAACAATCGTCCAGAGGGCAGAGGGGTTGATTTCTCGTTTCCTCCTTGATTCAGAGCAAGTTAAATGGCCAGTGCTTGCTGCCAGCCACTGATCAGCTATGATGTAGTCTCTGGTATTTCGAAGATGTCTAAGCCACCATTAATCCCAACCGGAAGTCTCCCCCCCCCCAGATTTTTTTTTTCTGAAGCATTTTTGATCCTAACAAAATTGAGAAAAGGATTATGAAGTAGCAAAATCATTCACATTTGAAACATTGTTCAGTGTCTGAAAATTCATTATATCAAGAAATAAGCTAAAGTGTAACAGTAGAAAACTTTAAATCACAAAATAGAAGAAAGGAATTGCTGACAGTGATAGTACTTCAGATTCAGAACGCAGATTGATTAGACAGTTTCATGTGGCTATAGGTATATTATGAGTGTTGCAGCTCCACCCCTAACACACTCCTCAATTCTGATTTTTTTATTATAAAGCAAGAAGTAATTGAGAAGTATGAAGCTTATAGAGACTTGGTAGAGATGTTTCCATCGTGTCAACAGGAGGTCCAATTGTACCAAAAAAAAATGCAAACACAAGGAGCAAATGTGGATAAGCTATCAAATATATTGGCTGAGGTTTGTACTGTTCCAATATATTATCTGTGGAACTATTGTTGATCAAATATTTTGAGGTACTCATTCTTCTTGGTAGAATGTAGCCTGAAATAAATGTGAATTGAGCAGAGTTAGACAGAAGGGTCATAAAGGAAGCAGGAAATGTGTTGCTCCCTTGTTTCAAAGTAATAGTTGTAATATGGCAATCCTTGCTGTATAAAAGGAGAAAAGAAGGAATATTCTTTGCTGAAATTTGTCAAGTTCCTCTTCAAGTGAGAGGGAAGTATTAGAAACTCATTACCTACCCCCATTTTTCTCTATTTAGATTAAGTCTGAACTGGAAAAAAATCCTCACCATATCCCTGTAGGAAATGGACTGGAAGGCAAAATCATATTTAAGATACATTCAGGGAGAGTAAGATTTTGCCTGAGACCCCAGTTTTCCTAGCAGCAAACAGACTTGTCCAAACAGAATCCTAGCAAGGTAATAGATACTCTTCCACAATGCAGTGAATTACATGTTGCATAAATAGCTCATTTAATGTCAAGCCAATCTGGTATGAGCAGAATAGTGTTCATTTCTTTCTTTAAGAACCCACAACAACTCAACAAAACATTTGAAAAGCAGTCTTTGAAACCTTGAGGAAACAATAATGTTGTATATCTCTATATACTCTACATTGTTTTCTCTTTGCAAGATTATTATGTAAACATTACACCATTTTTAAAAGCTTTTTTCACAAAATAAATTGGCTTAATATATTTGGATTGTCCAGGCATTGCATTAGTTTAGCCCTATAGCATTTTAAGTAGTATTTTCTCTAATTAGTAACATGTTTATATATATCTGCTACTTCCATTTTTCCAAAACATTTGCTTTTCAGATCCGAACTTTAGAGGACCAAACTGAGAATAGCAAAAGTGGATTCAAGAATGCTAAGACGGAGGAAATGTCATTGAAGAGATTAGTTACTGTTAAACGTGAAAAAATTGCTGCTGTTGAAATCAAACTTAAAAAGATACGTGAGGATACGGAACTACAGAAACAGTCAATAACTGAGTATGAATTACTGGCATTTAGGTTGTTTAATTCTGCTTATTCTGCTAGCACCTCTTTATGCAATTCAAAATTAGCAATCTGAAGAAAACACACTAAAACATACTGCCTTGTGGAAAATAGGCAAATTCCTGAAGACAAAACTTTCAGTGTAGTTCAAACTTAATGCTGCTTTTTTTTCTTTTAGCTCTCTGGGAAAAGTCACAGTAGAATAACTTCATGACAAAGACTTTAATAAAATCTATTTGCCATTCCTGAATCATTCATAATTTCACTGTCACTTCTCATTATCAGACACCTCAAGGTCTGTTGGGAAATTGGGGTTCGGATCCCAAAGGAACATAATGGTTCTTAAGTGAAAGGGAAAATTATGCTTGATCCTAGACAGCCTTGTCTCCAGTAAATGCATATGACAACATTTACAACGAATGGTAGTGCTGTATTCAAAGAACATTACTAAGAGACTGAAAAGCTATCCTTTACTGCCGCTGATACTTCCTGGAGTTGATCAGTAAGATATGATGGATTTGTTAAGCAAAAATATTCTTTCTCAACTCCCAGGCATCGTTCTCCTTTTTCTCACACTCCCCCCACTACGTAGAGTGAAGTGGAAGGAACTTGTTCCATATTCTAGCCCTGTCTGGTCTTGAGAATTAGGGCTGGTTGACTTTTGTCCCAAAATTATTTTGTGTGCTAGGCTCATTGTTCTCCCAAATCTCAATCCCAAGTTATATAGAAGAAGTAGAATTTATCAGGGATGCCCTCAATCCATTAAACAACAAATCGTAACATCCCAGCTTCTTTATACTTATAATCCACTTTTTTCTGCATAAAAAGATTAATTAAATGTTAATTTGGGGATGATGCTTCTAAATAGTAAATTTTTTATTTTCTAGAAATTGCAACAAATTTCAAGAGAAGAGAGGAGTTGTCTGTGAAAAACTGACAGCAACGCATACAGAAATTAAGCGTCTCAAAGGTGCCATTCAACAGCTCAGTGACAACGTTGGGAAAGAGAAGGCAAAAGCTCAGGTGAGTGCGTGCAGTAGGCCCTCATGCTGATGTGGCTTTTGTGAAAGTTGCTTCAGGCATGATGTCATCCAGCATGCTCATGTCTTTGCAATGATATCTCCAGGGAGGAAAGGTTTTATGCATTTGGCTGTATATTCATTGGATTCCCTCCCTGCAGACATAGAGACTGAGCGCACAGATCCTTCCAGGGGGCAAGTATCATCTGAGTGACATTGATGGGGCTCATCCAGGCATTCATTTGCTGAGTGCTTAGGATAACATAATACCTGAACAGAACCTATGCAGCACAACAATAAAAAGTTCATCCGACAACTCATTCAGGAACTCGGTATTGTTGAGCTCTGATACTGTGGAGTAGATACATGTTCCTTCTACATAGATGTGTACATGTATATACATAGTCAAACATTTTGACTCCATTCTATGGTGAAGCTGATATTCTGGCTAACAGCATATAATTTCAGGGAGGGAAATGGTTGAAACGTAGAAGGAAAATATTTTTTGTCAAATCGTTAAAAGTGCCATTAGAAGTAGGTTTAGCAACTCTGGTACAAGTTTCTATTTCCATTGACAACTTGATATCACTCCAGAATGACATGCAGCATAGTAATGGCTGGTGTTTTTGAGGTTTTGTAATCCATGTTCAGCCGTTAAATGGCTCTAGAACAAGGACAGAAAAAAGTGTAGCACAAGGCTTCCTATGGCTCACCAGTGTCCCATTTCTTACCCGGGAGGCCCACATAAAATAGATGGAGTCAAACACTTGGGGCAAAGTTCTTTTTGCATTTTTTCTGTAGCTGGGAAAGTTTGAAGGGACCAAATGTGTGCAGTATGACTTGCAGTTGCTTAAGAAACCCATTTAGCCATTTAAAACTCCTTGGCAGCCCCCAGCCAAAATGCACTCTGAGTAGGGTGGTCTTTGATTAAGCTCATCCAGCTCTCAAACCTAAAGAAATTAAACCCCTGCTCCTGAGCAAGTGTGGTGTAGATGAGAAGAGACTATTCTGTGAAAACTTTCGCCCCAATTTCTTTTAAGTAAAAGGTGCTTGACAGGTTTAGCAAATGTCTGTGCTTTGTACTTTAAAAAATGACAAATATGTCACTTATTAAAGGAATGTATATAAATATGCCTGGTATCTTACGCCTCTCTCCTAAAAAATAATGTTATCTGCTTATCTTTTCTTCCACCTCCCCAAGGAGATCTACCTCAGCTTGAGGGTTGGCTTGGAGAAATATCATGAAAATCTGGCCAGGATAGTGGACAGCTACACATCTTCCAGAGAAGACAAAATTGCTCAATTAACTGGATTTTTTTGATGCCATAATTCTAATTATTTTATACATACTCTTGTTTTTTGATGCTCAGTTGCAGGCTAACTTTGAACAGGGAAAAATGTGGACCTGTTTAATGCTGGATAGTTATACTAGTTAATGTATTAGACTGAGAATTTAATATTTTTGTCAATACATCATTTTCTTGAGCTAAAAATGTGGAGTAGTCTGCTGATTGCAGCAACTCTAAAGTTTACAAATCTCTGGTGAAGAAGTATCAGGACTATCTTCTGGTTTCCATTACGTTAACATTTTCTTAGTAGAGCAGAATTGAGAGAGGCAAACTTGAATCTGCTTTTACTGGATGATAATAGTACCTTAAAAATAGACAAATTTGTAAATTTTCTTTAACCATATAATAAAGATTTGTGAATATAAGGTTTGCTGATTTTCCTTATAACAATACAGTAAATTTGAGAGTAAAGAACATGTGATTACAAGTCATACAACATTCTGGAAACATTGGTCTAGCAACTTTTTGGTAACTGTCTGATTCCCTATATTTAGTTCCTTTTAAGTCGTTTGGGTAAGTTATGAGAAAAAGTAATCAATTCTTAATGGACAGTCCTACATTTCCTCTATTAGAATGCTTCTTTTTAGTCACATTGTAAAAATCACTTGAATTTTCAGCAACAAATTTTGGCCGTTTAATTTTTTTTTTAATTTTGAGATCTTATGCGTACTATTGCAGATAGTTCCTGTGGGCACCAAAATACAACTACTTTAATGGCCCAAATCTCAGAAGATCACTAAATCCTACAACATTTTGGGCTCCTTGCAGAAAATCTTGTGAACATTTGAGTGAGTGCGCCAAGCTTTCCTAGGAATTTGTAGTCATGAGATCTGGGGTCCTCTGAACATCCTGTGATTGGCATGCATGCCCACTGGCATCATGTTTCTGATCTTGGGCTTACATATGATGATTTAGAACTCTGCTAAAAGGGGGAAAAAAGATTAAGAATCACTAGCCTATATGTTTCTTTTTCTACATAATAAAGCCCAAATTTCATGATCTCTTGGTGATGCGTTAATAGACTAGAACATAACGTGGATAAAATTTTCTGTAAAAATTGTGGATTATATCTAAAGGAATCTTTAGTCCAATATTAATCAGCAATTCCAAATTCAGTGTACTGAATAAAGATTATATTTATATTCGGATAGATGTCCATAAAAAGTAATTATTTTAGTCATTTTAATGAATTACTGTAATAGATAAAACAATATTGGTTTTCAAATGTGTGTGTGTCCACATACACCTGCCTTTATTCAAATAAGTCTAATGCCAGTACAACCCTGCTAGTAGTGGGGAGTTCTGCCCTGTGATTTTTAGGTTAGGCAGTTTACAACTAATGCAATAGAAAACGGAATGCAATGTAAGAAAACAATCATACTAATTCCTACCTCAGTGCTTCCATAATCAACCCCAAGAGCCAGGCCTTTACTCTTTCCTGGAAGGACAGACGGCTTCATAGGAGGGGCGCTTCTGCTGCCTGCCCTCCTTTCACGGCACCTTCTGGGAGGAGGGGACCCTGAGTGGGTACCCTTTTGCCGTCTGGGCTGGACAAGTGGAAAGAATTTGAACGCTTTGGGGTTTAAAGCTAGCCTCGTAGAGCTTTCAAGACAGCTCCAGACTTAAATTTAAATACTGATTTTTGATCTAGCCTCAAATGCATCACGATTTTTAAATAAGAACCTCCATTGTATATCACTGTGTATTCCAAAACAGTGGGTTATGTTATTTACCTATTTATGTGTTAGCTTTATATTCTAACCTTTCATTAAGGGGCTCAAGGCAGTGTGGATAGTACTCTTTCCTACTTGTCTTTACAATAGCCCTTTGAGGTAATGTTTTCAAAGCATTGCCCGTTTCCATTTAAATCCAGATCTGAATAACATGCTTATGAAAAATTGGATTTAATCTGACAGTCTTGTAATGATTATGTAATTGTATTCAGAAGGGATCAGATTGGCCTAGTGATATGAAAAATGAGAAATGCTTTGCTTTTATTATTTGTAATACATTATCACATTATTTGCAGTGTCAGCCAGCTGTTGTAGACATTTATAATACCTTTCTCCCACTCATCCTTTCAGTCACAGAGTACAGAAGTATACTTGCTAAAAGAAACCCATACGTTTGCCCACTGGGTGACACTGTTGCACTATCAAATATTTACTTTTAGTTTGAATATATAATTATTTTTGGCCATAGGATTGCCAGAAGAAAAATCTGCCCCTTGACAACTCCTCCAAACCAGCTTTGAACAGAGACCTGAAAGTCGCAAGAATTGCTATAAGAATATACCATATTAAATTGTCCATTGATCCCTTAGTGAAGGTTTGTGGCCGATTTCTTATGTCAAACCTAGGATCTCAGCAAGTTCTGGGAAAACTGAGTGACATGCTTGCTCAAGTGGATTTGTGTAGGACAGGGATTCTGAGACTGAATTTGCAGATTCTTGGGGAATCTGGTTAGATAAGAATATAATTGTCTTCCTATTTTAGGACATAATCTCAAGTTTCCTGCTTTTTAATATTTCTCACAATTACCAAAACAATGCTTCCAGAAAAAAACATAACCAGGGCTTTAAGGCAATACAGGTAGTCCTTGTTTAGGGACCACAACTTGGTTGCTAAGTGAAGTTGCTAAGTGAAAAATGTGAACTTGGCTGCTTATGATTTTACTTCAGCTTTCCTGTGCTTTACAGTGTCAGAAGGATAGGACCCCAAACAGCTGGGTGAGCCCAAATGGCAGGGAAGGTTTCCAGAACTGGACTCAAGAGGAACTGGGTAAAAGGGCAAATCTTATAGCCCTTTTTCCTCACTCCCCCACCCTTTGGAATGCTCACCCCAGTGCTGGGATCATTAACAAGAAGAGAATTAATGTTTGTATTTACATTCATTGGAGAGGAAGGGATTACAGGAGTAAGCAGCCACACAAGGGAGAATACATATCAAATGGAAGGTGGTGGCCCCCACTGTTTGCCTAATATTCTGACTGCTGCAAGAGCTTAGGCAAACAAAAGCCTCTGGTATGAAACTGATCAGGGTCTTGTCAATTTCATGCAGCTGCTGGAAGTGGGCCAAAGGATTCTGATCAACTAATTAAGGTCACAGAGCTGAGCTTGTTAACCTGAGGTTAGCACCTTTTGAGGAAGCAGGGGCTGCAGAGAAAAGGAGCTCAGGAAGAGAGAGCTTGTTTAAGCAATCTCTGCTTTGCAAGAGAGGGAAAAATTTAAAAAATGTGTCAGGCACAGGACAATGCATACTGACTGACTGTAATGGCAAACATGGGAGGGAGGGAGGGAGAGACACACACTCTGAAAGTTGTAAATGCGGGCATTAGTTGGAAAATTACTTTTTCATCACCATCCTAACAGCAAATGGTTGCTGTCCAAGGAAGTCGATAGATGAGGACTACCTGTACCTCTGGTATTCTTGTTCACTGAAAATGGAGTCAACAGGAAAAAGCTTCCAAAGACTGGGCAAATGCTTCTGCATTAAGACACATATATTAAATCCAGAGAATTGGTAGCAATGTGGGCTTAATGTCCTTGCTATTAACATTTAGAAGACAAATGACTTGCTTGGAATTCCATAGCACTGAAGCTGACATATCCTATATCCACTTGCATAGTTCTCATAGAACCCCATGAAGAAATCTTGGGCAATTTTTGATAGACCTCAAGTAAATTCACATTTGCCCTACAAGTGATGAATCATGTGGCCAAACCAACTAAGGACTTCCAGACGCAGGGCAGATCTTGGCACAAGATAGAGATGTCACTGTACATACATAATAGAAAGATTTGAACAGTATGGATTTGAGTGTTCAAATAGGCACGCATATTTGTCTTATTTTGAAGTGCAAATGAATTGGCACTTTTACAGTATGGCAAAGCCTCTAAGGCATTACAAACTTTGAGTCAAGGTCTTGCTATCCAGTTTGCAAAGCCTTCAATGTCCTGTGGATTCTTCTCCCCTTGGGTGACTAGTGCCTCTAACAACACCTCATACGTTCCACTCATTATCTGTGGAAGAATGTACACTGATTCTAGATCAACTTTTCTATATATTACTCCAAACTATTGTTCGAAACTCATGAGATATATTATGTTCTTCCAATAGTATACTGCAGGTACTACAGTCTGGGATATTAATCTCACTATACCTCTTTCTCTTCATGAAATTGGTGCTATAATAAATAAAACTGGGAAAGGGCATGGCTTGGATAGTTTCTTAATTTATTGGTACAAAAAGTACATTGGGTTCATATCTGCTATTCTATGGATGCCAAAGCTTTTTCAAATAGACTCCTGTCTCTTACTTTCAGTGATACTTTCAGATGTTAAAGTCCTTCCTAGGGAAAGTCTTATTATCTCACTGTCTGTTCCATTTATAGACCTATCTCTTTGGTAAATGTAGATACTAAAATTTTAACAGCTACCTTGGTTATACTGAGTTGTTCCAACTATTGTGCACCCAGTTCAGGCTGGATTTATAGAGGGCCATTAAGCTTCTGATATGAGGAAGAGATGTTATAATTGTAAACAATGGATTTTCTAAGCTGTTGAAGAAATATCAAATGAAGATGGGTATTTCAATACTTATCAGATTAAAAGATCAGCATCTAGAATTATTGAATCTAACCAGGGAGTATGTTTTATCTGACTTCTAAATCACATGTGATTATCATTGGTATGTTATGTTGATTGAAGTTACGCTGTAAGTGATGTCAAGAATGTTCCTTTTTTTATTATGGCTATAGAAGTCTTTGCTTGTACAATTAAACATTTTAAAAATATGAAAGGGATCACAATAAGGAAAGCACAGTATAAGATTTTTCTATATGTGGATGATCTATGTTATAGTTAAGCCACAAGCTTTCATTCTTAATATAATATTGCTAGCATAAAATGAAACAAATTAGACTTGACAACACTGGGCCTCAGTAATATTTCTGACAAAATTAAAGGGCTGGGGTTTCAGGTTGTGTTTTTTTATTTCACTGCAAGCATTCCATAACTGGTAGTATCTTTAATAAAATCAACTAAATGACTAAAATATGCAGTTTTGAATTCCCTACATAACAGGTAAATAACTGTTATAGCTAGGAAATAACTACCAAATTTGGCTACATTTATTTACTTAGTACGAAAAGCATTTTTGTTTAGCTTCATGATATAAAATTGTAATGGGTCATTTTTTTTCTCACTATGTCTTGCCGGTGTCTTCTGTGTTGGCATTAGGAGATAACAGACTGGAAATTTAAAATGTGTGTGTTATTAGAGCTGGGAATGCAAATCTTTCCTGCACTACTAAAAGATCAGGGGAAATCTGATACTGATTATCTACATTAATA